TATGCCGGTCACGCTTAGCGCGTACTCACGCCCACGCACCGTCACGCGGCCTCTGGTCGTGCCGATCTGCTCGTAGTGAGTCTGGTGGGCGTCGCGCAGACGCGCGAAGAACTCACGGCTCCAAGGCTCGCGCGCCATGGCGCGCGCCACCGTTCGCGGCGCCATGTCCGTGTCAAAGTCGAAGCAGGGCAGGGTCGAGGTGAAGGTCAGGTCAAGGACGACGTCCACCAGCTCTCCTGTTTCGTCGAGGCGCATGGGACCGACGGCGTAGTTGATCTTCCAGCAGACCATCGGCTCGACGAGGCGGATGAGGAGGCCCTCGCCGCCGAAGACGTCATTGGAGGCGACGAGCAGGGTGTCGGGGTGGCGGGGCAGCTTCAGCGTGCCTAGTCCGGGCACCCCCACCAGGCACACAGCGTCGAGCTGGCGCCTGGGGCGCCGGGCGACGCCAGCCACCAGCCACGCACCCTCCGCGCTCGCACCCTGCACCCAGACGGAGTCCAGCGCTAGCGGGTGCGGCCCCAGCGGCTGCACCTGCTCCATGGCCGCGGCGGAGGCGTGCAGCCGCACCCCGTACCCCGACCGCCGCCCGGCCGCGCTGTCGCCCGGAGCGGAGGAGGGCAGAAAGACGCCGAAGTGCAGCAACAACCAGAAGATGGCTACCTTGACTGGATACGTAAGGCCCGGCTGGGAGTAGACTGAGAACATGCGACTTGGAGGACTGGACCGCGTGAAGACAAGCACAGCCGTCGTCGTTGCCATGGCGACCACGAGTAGCGTCCACATGCTGATGGCCGTCAGAAACTGATGAATGCAAGTGTTGTTTAGTGGTTGTTTGAGCGTTTTTAATGGGTTAGTTGGTCAGCTTGATTTGGTGCTCCTTTTGGTTGGGTGTGTTTGTTGGCTGGCTGATTAGTTCGCCTGTTGTTTCACCTGTAGATGGAAACCGACTTCCCAGAGAAACTGGAAGTTTCTGCTCAGATCATTTTGTTTCGCACACGGCTGCAGAAGGGTTTGATGGCAATTAGTGGGTTGGATCAGTAACGGCGCTTCAGTGTAGAAGGATCTTCTCAGTTTTCTTTGCACCGAACCACACGCGCACGATTTCACGCAGCTTCGCCGATGTCCTCGGTTGTCCCTCTCCAGATCTGACACCGTCCTACTCCTCCCCGCTTTTCTCCGGGGCTCAGGTTCACTGGGCGCCCGTGCCGCCTGCCACTCTAGCCCTATTCGCAGGCTTCCGTGACCCACGGGTCCCTGCGCACGCTCTCAGACATCACTGTGAGGCGCTGCGCAGAAATCGTCGCTGTGATCCGCGCCTGGGCCGCACTCGCCGGCTATCGACGTTTATGAACTTGGCATCCTGATAAGATACGACAAGATCTGTCTGAAGTGGGGCTCTAGGGGCGACGAACTGAAACGAGCAGGCCATGCAAGTTGTAGCCAGTCAAGAACACATACGTAGGGCGAATAAACAAGCAAGGATGAAACGTTTTAAGGTCTATGAATGCCAACCAAAAGCACAGGCGGGTGGTAAGTCAGCGAAAGGAACAGAAATAGCGGATGGTAGCTAGGTTTAGTAGAGAGATTACAATTGTCGGCTGCTACGCAGATTGATATCATCGGGAAGTGAAAGACCACCAAAACAAAAGTCAGTAGCATCTCAACCTGATTAGATAACCGCACGTTGCATGCACCGCGCTGCTTGTTTTGTACGTAAGCAGAACCTCATGATTGCGTGATATGACAACGAATTGTCATTCAGCAGTTTTAACGCTTTTGACGTTAAGTCTCATCTCTCGACGCTAAAAATGTGCTCCTTTGAAATAAGCTAAATCTGAGTTTCTCTGCGATTTGGTTTTTTGTTTGCAATGCGTGCAAGGAGGAGCGCCTACGGCTAGTCCCTGGGTCATTCAATGACCAATAGTCTGGATATTTCGGCGGAGCTCACGGCCATCAGCCGAAAGCTATTCTAAAAATAAATGCACAATTGCTACTACATGATTTCCCAAGCCACACGCATGAAAAAGAGTGACCGTGGTCCCCTCAACTCTCACCGGCTCGTTGGTGTGAATACGGAAAGATTTTTCCGTGCGCCTGGCCCTAAATAGATACCTAAAAGAAACAATGAAAATAAACCGGCCGTCAGCGTCTACCTGCCCGAACCACTATCCCGACAATGGCCTCACCGATAACGTCTGGCCTTATTAATGAGGCACGCCAAATAACAGAGCATAGACGCATCGCCGAATGCGGCTCAGACGACACTAAACCAGCACCGTTATAAATCTACTCACCATGGCAAAAGAGTCGCGACACAAGATCGTAAATAGTTTCACGCACATGCATGGAGGATACGTGTTCCGATTCAGCCTTGGCATACGTTGAGCGTGTTCTCACAACTGGCAAAAGCTGCTCACAGCATCGACACCACGATGGCACTCACTTACAACCAGACTTGCACCGATAGCAACTGTTAATCTGTGCCTGCTGCTACCCTGTGTGCGATCGTCTCGCTCCCCCTCCGCCAGGTGTTAGACGCGTTCTTCACCTCCCCGCTACTAGAACCGCTTCAGACCAGCTATTGGGCTACCAAAAACCGCGCTGCTGTTTTCGACAATCGTGTCGGCGGTTTAGCTGCTCCATTCTGGCCGGCGGTAGGCGGTGTGAGCGCGGGGATGCGCAGGACGTCATGTAAGGTTTGCCTTTTGATTTTCTGTGCAACCTAGAAGGCAGATTTAAGTAAAAACGAGGGAAAAGTCTGTGTTTCTAAGATGCATGTCTGCTTGACCAGTCCAGTGATTGCACCATGATCTGTCTCCGCTGCTTAAGATATTTCAGGTTTCATTGAAAACGTTGTTACTTGTTCTCTCGTTCTTTTAATGATGTAGTTGTTCATTAAAATGGTTGGCTAACGGACAACGAGCTCCAACTCTTCAGCGGCAGGATAGCTACTGCTGAGACGTCTGGCGTCATATTATCGGCCGCTGACGTCACCGGTAGTTCGGTGACGTCACCTGTCGTCGGGGCTCTCCGCACGCACCAGCGGTGACGTGACACCGTTACATAGCGAGCATGGAGATTCGACGAGCCGCTTCTCCAGTCGCGCCAAACAGCGGGAATGATGGGCTCGATAATAGGATCGAAGAGCGCAGGGGCGGCTGCAGGGAACCGTTTCGGGGGTGCGAAGAGCGCGGCAGCGGCTACAGGAAACCGTTTCGGGGGTGCTAGGGCGCGTGGAGGAGGAAGCGTAAAGCGTGGCCGATGCTCTCAAATGCTGATTGTGTTTGAATGGCAAGTACCGTTACCGATGCCAACGGACCGGCGCATGACCTGAACCTCAGAATCGCCTCCTTTCGTTTGGCAAACACAAGCCGCACCCTAGACGGTCTGCGATTAGATCGCGCAATGGTGATATGGGCGGGGTGACGCTGTACAAGCGTCCTCCTCTGCTTCCGCGACTGCGTCCTCCTCTGCTTCCACGACTGCGTTCTCCTCTGCTTCCGTGGCTGCGTCCTCCGCTGTTTCTGCGGCTGTGTCCGCCCCTGCCCATATGGACGCCGGGATCGTAGTGCCAGCCGCGTGGATTGAGGCCTCGTGAGATAGTTCCAACCGCTTGTCCGCTCTCCGCCGACCAGAATCTCTCACAAACATTCATGGTGGCTGGGTAGTTGTGAGAAAACACGTGTGGAGGAAGGTTCGCCCGGGTCAGGTGAGTACCCTGAAATGGTGCGGCTTCGTGCTGTCGTGCGTTCGTTTGTAGTGTTCTTGTGTGCCGTGCGTTTGTTCGTAGTGTTTTGTGTGTAGTGTGTTTGCTTGTCGTTTTTCTATGTCTCCTGCGTTAGCCTGTAGCGTCGTTGTGTGTTGTTCGTCTTATTGTAGTGTTGCTGTGTGTCGTGCATTTGTTTGTGGTGCTCCTCAGGGTCGTGAGCTTGTAGAGTTGTTGTGTGTCGTGTGTTTGCTTTCACTGTTCTTTGTGCCATACGGTTGTTTGTAGTGTTCTTGTGTACTGTACGTTTGTTTGTACTGTTGTATGTCGTGTGTTTGTTTAGTGTTATGTGTCATGCGTTTGCTTCTATTGTTCTTGTGTGTCGCGCGTTTTTTGGAGCGTTCATATGATGAGATGGATTGAGCGGTTGTAGATGTCTACGCGCAGTCGTTGAAATGCAAACATTATGGCACTAGGATTTGTGTAGTACTTGTTGGTGATGCAACCCTGACCTGCGCCGCCATTTTGGTTACATATGCTGCATGTGGTGCCTGTGTCACAATGCCCCAGCCTGAGGAAGCCCTTCAGCGACTACCACACCACAAACATTGATTTTAAGGCTATGGAACGGGGACGTACTGAGCAACCTTTACATGACGCCGCATCGGTTTGGGGGATGTTCTTGGCTACAGTGCAACGATGCAGTTAGGGCCTTTGGAGCTACAATTAAGAGGAATGCTTCACATTTGGAGATATCAAAGCAAGCTTCAGATATGATGAAAAAATATCTTATGATTACTGGTACCCTCTTTAAGTGAAAAAGACTGCTCTAGACAGCACGATTATCTGTTCACTAGATATGCTCCTCAATGCGTCATGGTTTGATGACGTCATCGCACCTTGCAGAACATTGACTGAGAGCCAATTGGCGGCCTTTATATCTGGAAAATGCGTTCACGATCGGCAGATGTGACCGCCTCGACAAAACAGTTTTCTTGACCTTGATCACCGCATGGTTTATGAAATGGCAGGATTTGAATGACATGACATGACATGACAATGACAATGACAATGACAATGACATCATTATAACGTCACGACTGCCGAGGTGGTTTTGAAATGCTCTTCCCGATATACCTTCGTCCATTTTTGCGAGCGTTTAGCTCAGAAACCAGAGCGGCTTAGGTCTTAGGGCGGGCAGGATGTGAACAGCACCGAGGGCTTTTTAAGATGGCTACTTCAGTTTAAAACCCCATATAAATTAAAGACACTCCTTTCGACTTAAGCCGTTTGGCGTGAAGTGACGCTTGGCAAACCCAACAGTAACGAATTCAAACAGTAAACAGTGGCCAACAGTGGCCAACTTAAGTGTATTGTGATAAGCGGGAATCGGCGGCCATTTCCGCAGGATGTGGCCACCGTGCCACCGAAACGTGTAGAGTAGTTTAGCTTCTCCGCTCTGTGGAGAGATTGAGCTTTTCTTTTGCGATGGTTGAGACATCATTTTCTTTTCCATAATATTTGCATCGTTGTCAGGCTGTTAAACATGAAAGACAATTTTCAAACGCCAGGTCGGAACCATTATCCATATCATTGGGCTTGCCGACTGCTCGAATACAAGTCTTGGAATGCTCCGACAAAACCATATGGTAGCGTTCCAAACTTTAACCTTTAGCCATTCACTGCGATATGTGCATTACTTTTCTGATTTCATCGGAAAGTTGCACTTCAATTCCAAAACGACCGTTAAGGGAGAGAAAGGGAGTATTTGTGGTAAGCGGGGAGTAATGTTGTGAGGAAACATAGAGCAGGCCCAACATAACAGTAATAACATCCTCACATGA